AGCCAACCATATCCTGGGCTGCATCAAAAGCAGCGTGGCCAGCAGGCCAAGGGATGTGATTGTGCCCCTCTGCTCCACTCTGAGACCCCACCTGGGGTACTGCATCCAGCTCTGGGGTCCCAAACATAAGAAGGACGTGGGCCTGTTGGAGCAGGTCCAGAGGAGGGCCACAAAAATGATCAGAGGAATGGAACACCTCTCCTATGAGGAAAAGCTTGGGAGAGTTGGGGCTGTTCAGCCTGGAGAAGAGAAGGTGCCAGGGAGACCTCATAGCAGCCTTCCAGTACTTGAGGGGGGTCTGCCAGAGAGCTGGAGAGGGACTTCTTACAAGGGCATGCAGTGACAGGACAAGGGGTAATGGCTTTAAACTGAAAGAGGGTAGATGGAGATTAGATATAATAAAGAAATTCTTCACCATGAGGGTGGGAACAGGTTGCCCGGAGAAGTTGTGGATGAGATTAGATATAATAAAGAAATTCTTCACCATGAGGGTGGGAACAGGTTGCCCGGAGAAGTTGTGGATGCCCAATCCCTGGCAGTGTTCAAGGCCAGGTTGGCTGGGGCTTTGAGCAACCTGGTCTGGTGGAAGGTGTCCCTGCCCATGGCAGGGGTATTGGAACTAGGTCATATATAAGGGTCCCTTCCAACCCAAACCATTCTATGAATATAGCTAGTATTATTCTGTTTCTTCTATGTCGTCCTATTTGGCTTTTTGGCAGGTGGCTTGGTCTTGCAGTATGATATCATCATCTCCTTTGTCTGTACTGTCATTTGCATGGATCTTACTGCATCAGCGTTTACAAAGCATACAATGGAAGTAATCTGTTCACTGTACTGTTGAGAAACAAGCAGGAGTTAATAATGGCCTGCTGTGAATCCTTAGTATCTTGAAGAGGTAAGGTGATTTTGTGTAAGTGGAGTAAAGCATATCTTCCACAAGGTCTGCTTCAAAGACACTGAGAGATGGTGTTCTTCAAAAGTTAGTTGCTTTTCCTCAGAACAGAAATTGTGCAACTTAAGCTTCGAGGTCCAGCTTCCAGCTCATACTTTCTGGAGTTTTTTTTCCAGAATGGTGATTGGATGCTGTTATCAAGTCATATCTGTTAGCTCGTTATGTGCAGTAGGAGTCTAAGTTCAGAAAGATTATTTCCCTGATCACTTTGTAACTCTTGGACCTCTTCCCACTTTGTCTTTAAAACATGATTTTAAAGGTGGACACTTCTACAATGGCTACTAGAGCTAACTGTGTTTGGTATTCTGTGTATTGTATTGTAGAAAGCAAAACTGAAGGCACTGTCAGTAGCCTGTAACTGCTAGAATGCATGAATATTATTAACAGTTTTAGTTGCAGTGTCCCACTGAAATGTCTTTGGTTGCTTCACCACTACAGCCTTTGGAGACCTTCCTGAGAGAGTAGTCTATCTTGTTTCACAGTGAAGATGCGCTCTCTACAGCTATGCTAAAATACCGTCTGCTTTGGTAGCCAGCATTACTGTAGAATCTGCCTAGCTCACTGGGTAGTTCAGATCTGCTCTCTTTGTATTCTGCTTCACGTTTTTAATTGGCAAATACCTTCTGTCACATTTTGTGACTTGCTAATGAAAATTATTTTTAAAAAAAGATGAACAGCCCACTCTGAAACTCCTCTTAAAAATGTACCCACTAAAATCTGACATAGCATCAATCCCAAGGGAATTTTTCCATAAGTATCCCCCTAAATGGTAGTCCCCCATTTGAAAATTACTTTGTGATTAGCCAGTTCTTAATCATTTATTATAGGCTAATGCTTTCTCATTCAGTGGCATGTAATATAAAGTCAATTATGAGACTGCATTTGTGAACTACACATGTCATCATACCAGAGCCTGAAATGACTGATCAGATCTAAAAACAAAAAACCCAACAGTGTTGCTTGTCTGTAGTTGTTGGAGATTAATGTTAAATTGATCTGTGACTGGCTATTTGGTTCTCTTGTATTTGGCATGTTCACTAATTGCTCATAACTTTCTTGGTGTTTGAGATTTCCCTGGTGCTTTGTACTCACCTTCTCTGTTCCTGGCTGTCAGTTTGTCTAGTTCTATCTATTTTGTCTCTGCTCAGCTTTAGCTTCTGTTAAAGAAAATCCTCTCATCTCCCAACTTCTTGAATTGCTTCTGATTTATTTCTTTTTAGCTATTACAAGTAAAGTAACACTTTGATACAAAGGGCTCTGATGATACTGCCTTTGGGGGGGACACAAGAAAGGTGCTCTTCAGTAGAGTTCTATTTGCTGTTCTCCCAATTGTTCCACCTAAGACGAAAAGCAAGTCAGAGCATCACAAACTTCAGGAGCAGTGACAACGGCTTGAGATTTTAGTGCCTATCAGCAGCAACACTGTTTTCTGATCAAAGCTGGATTATTGCGTTCTTGGCGCTGGACCTGTGTTGTCTTGGTATCTTCTCTGGCTGCAGTCTAAGCCAAAACCTTTTGACCTATTATGATACTGAAGTTGTTTGAAGAACCCTTGGATGTCCTCTGAAACAGGTGAACAGCCAGGTGCTTCTGTGATTATTATTGCACATTAACCATTCCAGGCCTGCTCTCAGGTAATGCTTCTGGCTGTAGCACAGTGCCACCAAGTGTGTGGCACCTGATACCTGTTGCTAATGTTAGGGCTTGTTCTGCATATTGCTATTCAAGTTGTTGCTGCTTTTTACAGGAACTTTAACACACTTTTTGAAAATGGGTGTACTTCATGTTACAGCTTAATTTCTGTTACTCTGACTTTTCCTGCAGATGGGTTATTCTGTGCCTGTCCTATTGCTTTGCATGATCAGAGCTGAGTTTATTAAACTTACTGGAGTCCAGTAACATGCCTAAACTATGGTAGAGACTTTTTTCATTCTTAATTCCACACAATTCTACTGGAAATATGTTCTATTTAGCTTTCAGTGTTGTATTTTTCTGTACTTCTTTTTTAAGCCATTGTCATAAATTTTTCACCACCCCCGCTTCTAAGTGCTACCCTTGGTTACGTGTTGAACCAGGGTGGAATTCTGGAAGAAATTACTTTATTTCTTGATTGTGGATTTTGCTAATAAAAGTGTTAAAATAACTTTCCTTTAATATTAAAAATGGGAGGGAGTCCTTTGAAATGTAATGCTAATTTATTTCATAATGATATAGATTCGTGCCTTTTCTATCTTGACGAGTACTTAAGCTGTAGATCCCCTGGAATGTTTAAATGTTAGTGTACTGTGTGCAGGCATCTCAGTTGTCCTATTTGGCAATCTACAGCTGAATGTAAAACTAGGATTAAAATCTAGTAAAAGTAAAGAAACTATTAAATGTGAAGTATCTTGTCTGGGCTTTGTGGCACAGTCCATACATTTTGAAGTATACCATGTTTCTCATTGCTGCTTCAAGTGTGTCTGCAGAAAATGGACTTAAATTCATGTTGTGCTGCCAAGTTTAACTGATAAGACTCTGTTGCCTAGGAGTATGGGGAAAATAGAATGAATTCCCTACATCTTGTAAGAAGTCGATGTTTCCATAGAACCCTTGATAGAGATAGCTATTGGATAAAAGGTCTTGTGGTGTCCTAGTTTTCTGCAGGTATTGTATTAAGATGTACCAACAGAAGCAACTTCTTTCGGTGACCTACGTCTCTGCTCATGGAATCTGATAATTTAGGTGCAGTTGCAGAAGTTCTTCAATGTAGAAAAGTTCATAAACTTTAGCAAAATTTTGGAGTTCAGTATTGCTTTAACGTAATGGATTGGAAACTTTGTGACCATATTGCTGTAGGATATAACTAATAGTGTATATATATTTCTTCTGACTTGGTTAATGCAATACATTTATCGACATTTGGTGTTTCTGAAGCAATCTTCTCCTTGTCCCCTCCTTAGTATAGGAGTGGGCACGTGTAGAAGAATGGAGAATTTTCTCTGGGTGGTGTCAGAATGTATCCTGGAAGGTGTTAGTGGGTGTTCTGAGGGGAAAGTACGTACATATTTTGAGAAATGAGTAGTGATAAAGAATGAGGAGTCAGTCTTTCTCTTAAGGTTTGAGCACGTTCTGGTTCTTGGAAAGTGTCAGCTTGATATCTTTCAGTTGTTAGCTTTTTTAAGATTCTTTGGTTATTTGTGCTTCAGTATGGTTCTAAGGAAGAGGAATAACTTTGCCTTTAGGTGGATTGCTTTTCCAGAAATATCTGAAGCTATCACCAAGCATGTGAAACTTCATTCCTGTTAGTCAGGCTCTTCACCTTGTATAATTATTGTTATATAATCTTTACAGTCTTCAAGATCCAGAGGAGGCACGGGACCAATTTCATCTGGCCAGACTGAACTGCAAGAAATTTGCTTTTGTGCATGTGGCTTTTGCACAGTTCGAACTATCACAAGGTGTGTAGAAAAACTTGTTTGATGTTGCTGTTCTGTGTCGTTCTAGGTTTTGTTGTTTTAAACTTCTGCCCTGTTACATAATTTGCAAGGAAACTGGTAGGTATTAAATCAGAAAAAGAAAAATATGGATTTTCTTCCTTTTTGAATGAAATTTGTCAAGAACATGGGTGTTCATTTTTAAAATGAAAATATGTGCACAGTTCATAGGTTATTTTCCTTTTTAGAAATAATTTTAAAACAAGATGAAAATTGGCAGTGATTTCTGTTTGGTTTTTTAAGCTTAGATCTTACAGTAGCAGGTCTGAGCAAGGCTCTTGCTGCGCTGAAAAATGGTACTCAAATCTGGCTGGTAATTTCGCTTTAGATACTTTCAGCTTGCTTGTGGAAGAAATTCTATCTCATTCCAAAAAGCAACTGTAGATTCTTTGTGTGTTTTTTCATTAAACCAAAATACACTGTAAATGTGCTGTAAATGGGCAGTTTGGTCCAATTATGTTTTCCCCCTTGCTACTCAGATTCTTAAGTAGCTAGCAATTGGATTTTCATTGATCCTTCTGTTTCCTGTTCCATTGATGATTATTCGTGTTGGGACACTGAAGATGGATATCATCTTCTGTTGCTTTGTAATTGCCATGGACTGACTTCTTTGACAGTATCATATATGCCATGTTCCAGTCAGTTGACAGGGAGGGAAGAGCTTTGTCAGTATTATAGAATGGTAATCTTTGCCATATGGTGCCATACAGAAGTGTTTTAGGTAAGCCATTCTGGTAAGAGTGATAATGTCTTTTAAAAAAATCTGGTCCCCTTCTTTAAGGGATGCCTGGACTGTCTGTCCCTGGTAGGGATAGCTGCACTGAAAGCAAACTTTCTAAATTAATTTATCCTGTTCCTTGGTGTACTGGATCTGGCTTGGGTGGCGTTATTTTTCTTAGCAGCTCATATGAGCTGTTGTGTTTTAGATTTGTGACTGAAACAGTGTTGGTAACACACCAATGTTTTAGCTGTTGCTGAACAGTGCTTGCACAGTGTCAAGGACTTCTGTTTCTTGCTTGGCCTCTACTGTGCTCGAAGGCTGAGGGTGCGCCAGAGGTTGGCAGGGGTTACAACTGGGACAGCTGACCTGAATTGACCATGATGCCTTATAGCATCATGCTCAGCAATAAAAAACTAGAGGATAGTCTTTCCACAGTAGCAGTTACGTGGACACTGGCTGGGTATCATTCTGCTGGTAGGTGGTGATGAACGGTTGCCTTTGTATCACTTACATTTTTTTTTTTTTTTTCCTTCACTTAATAAACTCTTTATGAGGATTTTTTTTCTTGCTTTTACTCTTCCACTTCTCCCTCTAGACTATTCCAGACTATATACATTATGCTGTAAAATATCTAGATCAATAGGTCCTCAATACTTCGGGCAAATAGTCCACAAAGTTCACCTTTGCTTGTTATGTTGCTTCTTTCCGGTTGTGTATAGGGGAGATGGCTCTGGTAATTGTCAGCGGGGTTGTGCTGCCTACCCACAGGCTCGTATATTTTGGGTGTCTTTTTAAATCTTCTTTCCATGGGTGACTTGACCAGTGATTTATGTCACCCTGTTTATCTTTTCCCTTTAACTTCTTTCTCCATTCGGAAGGACAAGCACATTGTGTTAAAGCTGTTATCTTTTTTGAAAGAAAAAGCCGTGGTGGATATATTTTGAATTTTTTGTGGTTTATTTTTCTTAATGTTTTTTGTCAGTATCATGTAAGCTGTTGTATACTGCCTAGTATGAGAAATTCTCCCCAAAATTAACTGCAATAAATACTTAAGTGAGATTAAGCTGTCTGTTCTACACTCTGGATTCTGTGTACATCTTAATAGCTATTTTTCTTTATGCTTACTTCCGTTGTTTGTAGACAAAAGCACTGCCAAGGGAAAATACTTTAAGTCCCGTACTTCTTTGTTTTTACTGTGTTTTTGTATACAGTTTGAATGGTCAAAGTGTGTCCCATGAGGTAGAGCCATTTTATTAAAATCAATAAGTAAATACTCATTTGTCTTCTCAAATTTTCCAGTTTTTCTTGACTATTTGTAATAGACCAGGAAAGGCTGTGAAAATCCCTCTCAGAAATACATGCCACATAAAATAATTGATGGAGGAAGGGTACTGAATATGATTCCTTCACAGGGTGGGGAGGAGAGGACAAAAATGTGCATATCTGACTTGAAATTCCATATTTTTTCTGTTTCAGATGAGTCAGTTATCTGACTAGTCTTGTTCTAATATAAACATTTTGTTTTGAACTTAGCCATTTTTACTACTGTTTATAATTTGTCTAGTGAGTGCTATATGCTTGTTAAAACAGATAATAAAATAATAATACTGCAATAATAAAGATATTGTCAAATAAGTGTAATAAAACCTATTGTGTAATTTAAGTATAGAAATGTTACTATTTATTACCAATGACTAAATTCATCCTTCTGTCACAATCGCTTGTGAATTTAATTATCCTGTAGCTATGGGATGTGTTAATGCAATAGTTTTTTACTTGGACAGCAAATAGTGAACCTGAAGTGAAATCCTAATTCCAAAGGAATAAGCCATTTATGATTGGCTTTGTTTTGCCTCCAGTGTGGTTTCTGTTTTGTATCTGTTATCCTGGAGCTGGTCTAATTGACATTTCATAATATATGTGGTGCTGTGGTGTCCCCGCTGGCTGCTTCAAAGAGGATTAATGTAACCTGTGAGTTGTAGGTTGTTACTTTGTGTGCCGATGCTTTTTCACTGGGTGTGTCCAGCTGAGGCCAGAGGGAAAGGAGGTGGGTAGTGCTTTGTTACCTCCTCATCCCGGTGATTTCAGCAGTGCTTTGGCACACCTGCCAATTGCTTCTGGATTAATCCGTCTTTTCCTTGGCATTAAGGAGAAAAAGTTAATTATACATTCATGCCTGTGTCTTGAACAAATTTGTGAACCAAAGCTCAAGTCAAAAATCCTGAAATTATGGTTGGCAAATTGATACTGATTTCTGTACAGATTGGATTTTCATGACCTGAAAATGGAGTGACACAATAAAGGTAGCATTCTGTTTTGCTTTTATTTAAAAGCTGAATACAACTTTATTTGAATAGGACAGATGAGGAGCTGTCTCTTCCTTAATTTTGGTATGCCTTGGATAGTGTTTGAAGCAAGATTCGCTGTGAGTTGTTTGGAACTTGTGACCAGAAATAAAACTCTGCTTTTGGCTATATAAAATTATATGCCTAGGTGGATCATGCAGGCTTTTTGTATGCGGTGATGTGGACTGATTGCAACTTTGTGCCTTTGTTCCTCATCTGTTAAGGGGGATGGAGTGCTTCATTTTTCACATAGATGTGTTGGTGTCATGTTATTTCTTAGTGAGGCAAATAAGACTACGAGCGGTTGCTTTCATTTTGAGTCGCCGGTCTTGTTGAAGCAATGTGTTACTAAGTATAGCCAAATGTAGAATGCTGGTTAAGGATTCTTAAAAGGAAATACTAAGCCTATCCACTTCAAAGGATTTAGGAGAAAAATAGTATTTGATTATATGGTTAAAAAACAACCCATAACAAATATGCACAAAATAGATTTAAATGAAATCATAACCAGTCTTATTTTGGTGTGTCCTTGCTTTAATGTCCAATGTCACCCATTTAATATTCTTCGAATAGGTTATTCAAATAGAAGTTCCTAATACATACACCCCACTCCCCCCTGGTCTGAACTGCAGGTGACATTGACATCTAACTTCAGTTATCAGTGGAGTTTTGAGTGGTGGAGACATCATGGAGCTCTGAAATATACTACTATATAATTAAGTATTTCTTATACTATGTATGTATGTGGCATCTATAAAAACAGTGGTTTACACATTTGGGACTTCAGGAGCATTAACAGCTGTAACAAAACATTGCATCATTTTGCCTTGATGCTCTCTAAACCATGGAAACCATGATTGCAGTACACTTCTTTCCATATTTGACTTATCATAGAATCATAGAATGGGTAAGGGTTGGAAGGGACCTTAAAGATCATCTGGTTCCAACCCCCCTGCCATGACCAGGGACATCTTCCCCTACACCAGGTTGCTCAGAGCTCCATCCAACCTGGCCTTGAACACTGCCAGGGAGGGGGCAGCCACAGCTTCTCTGGGCAACCTGGG